TTCCTGGTTCTTACAGGCATTTTTTCCAGAAGCAAAAACAAAACAGCCTTAACGTTAAACTTGGCTGATTTAGCCTTACTCCCAGGGCGGAGATTATCCGCATTGCAAGCTTGTAGATGACCAAGAAGGTTCACCTCCAAAAACCCTTTGCCAGCCTTTTAGCCCCATCCCTTCGTGGCCCGGAGGTGAGGCTTGACGTGCAAAGGATGGAGCTTGCTGGTGCTCGGGGTGTTCTCATAGAGCCCTGGCGGTGGCGCTCGAGGCTGTCATTCTGCAGCTGACTGCCGCCTTTACAGGACTTAATGAGCCTGCCCCAAGCCAAACGCATCAGCAGGGCCGAGTTTACACAGCTACAATGATCACTGTGCGTTCTTGTTTGAAAATTTTGAACAGCAAGGCACCTGTTCTTGGTCTCCATCTCGCAGCACTCATCTAAAATCCTCCCATATTGGGAATTTTTTAGCATTTTGTCTGAAAAAAATGTACATTTTTAAAATATAAGCGCAGTAATCAGGAAAGATGCTTTTTAGTGGGAAATCTACATATATATGAGATAACATATAATACATTTATGAGAGAGAGGTCCTGGTGGTATAGTGGTTATGCCTTGTTGGGGGGTGGGGTGTATTGGGCTGCTAACTGCAAGGTCCTCTGTTGGAAGCCACCAGTGACTCTACCAGAGAGAGACTGGGCTTTCGGCTCCGTAAACAGTTAATAGTCTCAGAAACTAAAAGGGGGGGTGTTCTACATTTGACATAAAGCTTCACAAAGAGTCAGTATCGGCTCTATGGCAGTGAGTTTCTTTTTTTCTTCCCCCCTGAGTAAAAATCATAGGATGAATAAAAACATTATTCTCTAGATGTCAGATTTGCCAAAACTCAGGCTCGGGCTCTTCTTGATCTGAAAGAAAGAAAGCGAAAGAAAAAAGAAAAGTCTCAAAATGCTGGTTATTTTCCAATCTCGAAGAATAAAGTGTGTCCCTCAGAGCAGACCCCTCTCCCAGATCCGAAATGTGGTCTGGGATCTGCATTTGATTCTTCAGTTGTTATGGTGAAGGATTCACACTACCTAAGGGACAGGCACACAAATTTTAACATTTAATCTTTTACTATCTAAGTCAGTAAACTCATCTTGCATTCGTAGTTTCTTCCTCAAGAATTTTTTTATTAAAGGATCATTTTGTTGGAGACTCTTACAACTCTTGTTACAGTCCATGCATCGATTGCATCAGGCGAATTTGTACTTATGTTGCCTTCATTCTTTTCTAGACATTTATTTTCTATTGAGCCCTTGGTATCAGCTCCTCTTTCCATGCCCCGCCCCCCCAAGATATTTATTTTGTAATGTTGTTGGGCGTCTTTCCCTTCTTATACATTATTTGTATTTTTGTCTGAATTCTATTATGGTTTTATCCTTAACACCTTAGCACGATTTTGGTTTTTGTTGTTTTCAGTTGGGTCTCCCAGCTGTGAAGCCCAGGAGAAATAACTGATACAAGGGGTTATAGGGAATACAGGGGTGGGGGTGTAGATGATAGGGAGGGTAAGGGGATCATGGGAGTAAATAGTAAAGACAGGAGGGGGGAAGGAGCACTAAAACGGATTGGGATTATATAACTCATTTTAGAGGCAATTTATCCATGGGAGGGGGGAATCCTCTAAAGTACTGAAGTGGGGGTGATTATACCACTCTCCTTGATATGATTACATGATTGAACTGCTGAAGTACATGGTATGTAAATTACTTGCCAATAAAACTGCTGGGAGGGAGAGAAATTTTTCCCCCCACAAAAATATCTAGGTTATTTCAAAATGATTAATCAAGTTAATTGAAAGTTCTATTGACAAGGGCAAGAGGTGAGATGGGGGAGGAGGTGGAGTCTCTTAAATGCATCTCGGATTGTATGCAGGCAAAATTCCTGAAAACACTCTTTGCTAGGGTGCTGAAATGGCTTGATGATCTGCTTCTCAAAGATGTACTTATCCACAAAATTTTATTTTATGCAATTAAAGTTAGAAATGATTATATTTGTCAGCTCACTGACCTTTAAATTGGGTACTTGATAAGCACAACTTTCCTTTCAAGATTTGCTGCCCATTGCTACAAAACACACGTCTCTCTGCGGGGTATGTGAGTTTCATTTATTAAACCATTTCTTAAGCTCATTAAAGGTAGAACTACACAGATCTGTGAGACTAGTTTCACATGACTACAAATGCTTCATTAAGATACTAACTCCCAATATATGTTGGAAGTTCAAGTCAAAGAGGCACCAATTATTTCACAGATGAAAAGAACTAGATTCTCTAGTTCTTGATGCAAATAATCTATTTTTATATCGTTTTATTAGGAGCTCATACAACTCTTATCACAATCCATACATACATCAATTGTGTAAAGCACATTTGTACATTCATTGCCCTCATCATTC